TTTAAATATATTATATATATGCATATTAATAGTATAAATAATATTAAAAAGTAATTGAGTTTGTGATAAAGTTTAAGGTAAATGGAACTTAGGATCTAGTGATCTAGATTTTCCATTTAAAATTTTTTAGCCAAATTAATAACACATAAGTAAAAGTGATCAGTTAGTAACAATACAGCAGTTTTAATTATTTAGAATAAATAATTTGAAACTCAATTTTTTTATTTTTTTTTCTGTATAATAAGAATAAAAATGTGAGATTAATTTCAATTGGATTCTAACTTTCAATATCTATGTAACTGTAATTGAACTTGGAAGTTGATGTAAAATACAAAAAAATAACCATTAATTCTTCTATAAAATATATATTGGTAAACAGTATGTGCACTTATTTGACACATTTAATTAATCAAATTTACATTTTTTGTTTCGTTTTTTTTTCCTTAAAAAGAGATTAAAGGCATTTTTTAAAATCTTAATATTCATTAAATACATACAAATTTACGTAAAAAATACTGTATTTCATGCAAATCTGTCAGGAAGATATGTTTTATAGATACTTTATATATTTTTACAATATACAACCTTCTGGCATGATTTTAAAATGTAAGCACACTTCTTGCAGTAAATTTTTTAATATCCTTGCTTGGTTCTCAGCACTCTGTAAATTCATATTCATATTGGAACAAATATTTATTTACAAAATGTTATAAAAAGTTTCATTTATTTTATTTCAAGCAAATTAGATTGTGTTTTTCAATTTTTTAAATAAAAAAAACTTACCCCATCTAGTATAACAGTTGGTATAAAAGAAATTCTTGGCATTAAAGAATTTGTAAGTTCTCCATACTTAGCCAAAAGTTCTTTGCCCTTATCTTCAACAAAACACTTAAAAATGGGATTATAATCTACATTCATTTTCTTTGCACAAATTTCCATGATATTCACTGGCTCTCTGTTATTTTTAATCATACAAGATATATACTCTAATTGGATGGAAGAATTCTTCAGAATATCTATGGAGCATGCATGAATAATATTTGCTTTACATTCAATAGGTCCATGTTGGCACATAAATTCATAGCCACTTTCTGTATTTACTGTCTGTAAAAATTTATTTGAATTTAGAT